CCGCGCGCGTTTAATATATCATAAAAATATATAATATAATATACTGCTGAGTGCGGACACAACAACCCTTGCGGTCGTAGTATTTTAAATTGGATAAGCACGACGAACCCCGCTGATCAATGACATCACCATCGCTGAAATCCGGAACCCGGGACCATACATATATTTTCAAATTCATTAATCGGAAGTAACCGTGTATAACAATAATAAGAATAATGTATATAACCGAACAAATTAAATAGGTAACAATTATTAAAAAAATAAAATATCGTTTGCAAACTCGAGAAACGTTACGTCCCGACCATGATATTCTAATAATGATAACCTAGAACTAGAGGGAGCTGAACAATAATAATATAATATCTGTAATAATAATACAATATAAAATACTATACACAATGCAGTCAGTATACGGGGGGGATGGTTATACGACTTCAGCGTCTTTTGTGGGAGTCGTTAGTTTCTAGGAAGTGGTTAAAAAAAATTGTCTGCAATGAAAACAAAATAATAATTAAATACGTCGTAAAAACCGAAAACTCTTAATCTTAATGGCACGCCGTATTCCAACATATATATATGTAACTTCACGGTTATTTCTCTATACAACATAGTACCTACGAAGTAGGGGATATAAAAGGACTGCCGTAAGGTTTTTGTTTGTATTTTTTTTTTTTTCATTATTATATTCTGTTCTTGTGCGTTTTTCGATTTTTCTTGTTTATTAAATTCCTGCGGAGACATTCAGAAAATGTGAATCGGACATTCGGACAATACATTGAGAACAGGTTTACAAGAAGTCGGATATCTTTGACTATATCGTTTCACACCGAAAAATAATGACAAAAATTCTGATATTTTCCAAGTGTATAAGTAAAGAGTAGGTACCAGCTATTATAAGTTATAAGCTATGCAATTATTATTTATTATATTATTATGATTCGTATTTCAAAGTTTAATAATTCGCTTGTATTGACTATGCAAATTGTTGTACTCAGTTAGAACTCTGAAATGTCCAGCATATTATTTTTATATTAATATACAGCATATATTAAACAGCAGTATTCGTAATGATGTCCTGTGACCAATACAATGGATTTAAAATTTAAACATCGACTGTAAGCCCTCCTGCAGCAGTATATCTATATACACATAATAACTTACAAGTCTTAACTTATAACTTATAGTCGAGGTAACTAATAAATGTCTGTATAATATATTCTGTACTCTCTTAGGTCATAAGTGACAATATATAGATGTATAAAAGTGGGACAAGATACTTGTCATCGGAATAAATTAACGTCTTGTTGCAATATAATAATATATTTAGTACAAGTTACGAAATCCAAATAAATAATTAATTCGCTCTATCTATAAAGTGATATAATTCAGAACTGTTGTAGGCTGTAGCAGGTATTTAATATTATACAACTATAAACAATACTACAACATAATAATATATTACAACATACACAAATGCACTGTAATTAAACAGTCGAATAGTTAGGTACCTACGTATAATTATTGTGTTCGTTTTAATTAAACGCATGTTTTTTTTTTAATGGATATCGAACGACGACGACGACGATGCTATAATAGTCAACCAACCTGACCACCAGCCCTCTAGTACAATATAATATTATTAGCGTGACAATAATAATTATTATTATTATTTTACACACATACACACTCCCACTCACAAGTGACCGTTGTGTAGGTCAACCCGCGTGAATGCGACATCATCGTCACGGGAAATAGGTTGTATCGGGAACATCCCGACATATAATGAAAACAAAACGTACGAATAAAAAATTATGAAAAAAGAATAGCCCGGTGAAGTACACAGCACACAATTTCACATATTATTATTATTATTATTGTACGTATTATTACACATATGACGTTATAATATCGTACCTATATGGCTATATATATATAAATGTAGGTAGGTATCATCACGAGGAGTACCTGTGCACTGCATTTGCCTACATTATGGAACACGACGTGTACGTAATAACCTAATAATAATAATAATAATAACAGCCGAGCGTTATTATTGTCTTTCATTGTGTTGTGACACAAAACAACCGGCAATTTCGCGTGTTCGTCGGCCTCGGCGGTATACCCGATCATCGTCGGGGCTATTGTCTAATATATATGATTGGTTATCCGGTGTATGGCGTGCGAAGACGGTAAAAAAAACTAAACAACAAATAAAATTCAACCGTGAGCGCGTATTACTGTTATTATTATTATTGTTATTATTATTGTCGATTTCACTTTGCATGTCATCGTCTCTCCGTCATTAAGGTGTCCACGGCATCGTGGTTCCTGCCCCTGCGTGTCATGTACGAGCAGTGTCACGACAACTTTACTTTACTCCGCGAAAACTAGCGCACAAACGCGATACTTTTATTACCCAGATTTAAAAAATTATGTTCCATTAATATTATATTATACCTAAAGGGTTTAAGACGACCCAGAGTGTAACGCGGAAATGTATAGATATATTGTTGTCCTTCGTCGCTGTCAACGCTTTGGATTGCATACCGCCCGAAGACTAAATTTTTTTTTCAAATTATTTGACAGTTTATTATTATCAAATTTTCTCGAACGTAGATATTAAAAAAAAGAGTTTTAGATTATTTCTGTAACATTTTAAGTACCTATCTTTTGTATTAAAGGTAATTAAAATATATTATACACCGCGCGGCCATGCACTTAAAATTGTGTAACAGGATGTAACAGTAAGACCTGAAGAATAAAAAGAAAATTTGATAAAAGTTAAACTTTTGAAAAAAATTATAAAAATCATATGAATGATAAATAATTTGAGATTTACTCTGAAAATTCCCGAAAATAATATTTAAAAAAAGTTATTACGTTTTGAATCAATTTACTTCAAAAAAATATTGATATCATAAATATTTGTAAAAATTAAGCTACCTACTTGACTTAATTAAACGCTTTTAGTGTTTTAAACATAAAAAAATTATTTGTAAAATTTAAATTTTTTTTTATTTTCAGTATTAAAAAATTAAAATTAAAATGTATTTTGCATTTGCGGAGTCCATAAATTAAAAAAAAAAAAAAAATAAAATATTGATTAGAACATATCGACATATTGATTTGTCAAGTTTTTCTGTTAGGTGCACCTTTTATAATGTATAACAATATGTATACACATTATAAGAAGAAGTAAGAACATTAAAGACAATTATAAATTATTAATAACTTGGTATTTAAGATTTTAATAATTGTGTAAAACAGGATATTTGTCATTTCATAAATAGCTGCTTGTTGGCTGTATGGAAAATTATTGAGTCAAAGTGTGGCACAAAAAACCACTAAACGTCTAAACGAAATTTGTACATCACGCGTTTATAATATAGATACAGTCTTTACACTTCCTCTATATGGTGTATTGGTAGATACCTATTACCTACATATTATACTTTAGGCTTTGGGGATTTTAGACTACCTGATATATATAGTAAGATACTGCTTGCATAGACGCCATCTACCGGACCGTTTTTCGCAGGGGTATATCGCTTATAATAGCATGCAGTTAATAAGTTATTTCATTTGAAGTTTTTATGTGTAATCTATATTCTATACTAGAAACGTTCGCACTAATAAATTACCGATTTTCGAAGTTGTTAATAAAGTAAAGAGCAACAAAAGTATTTTTACAAGAAGGTCTGAAGGTGTATTTACTATTTAGTACCTACTTAGATGTAGTACTTATATTATTATTAATTACTGATTTATTAGACGATTTGAGACGATCGACGGTGACGTTTTCAAAATGTCTTCACGACATTACGAGTATTCATTTTATAAACAATAATAATTGCGATCAAAGTCAATGCACTTATGGTTCACGGGTACTTAATTTATAAAAAATAATTCGAAAGGATGAAATTTAACTCAAATAGCTATCCTGAACTTATTTAATATTTCATGAAAACAAATATTTTGACCTAGCTATATTTTTGATAAAAAAAAAAAAAATAATAGGAAAATAAAAGACAAGTGGTTCGATTCTCTACATCGATTATAGGGTTGTTAGAAGTGATATTTATTCGTCCTAGTAAGTTTTTCCATTTAAGTTCGTCTGTTATTTGAGATTGAGGATATAATAGATTTGTATGCATGATAAAACCGAAAACCGAAAACAAAAACTGTTTTATAATCTACACACGGGGCTTAAAAGTTTCAATTCTAAATATTGCGCAATTAAACTGATTTCGTTAGATTTTTTTTATATTATGTTAAGGGTTAAATACCTATATACTTACATTATTAATGCATACCTATACATGTAAACGGGTAATAAATTACCACAAATGTACATATTTGAACATCGGATTCCTGTAGCAGTATAGAAAGGTAGGTACTCTGCGTTTTTCTTTTGGCGTAGGCATAGACCGCGACCACGAAAACCGCACATCCTTTGATTTGTATTATTTCCTTTCCGTTGTGTGTGGGTACCAGATATAAAGGTAATTAATTTTATCGCGTGATTTTAACGTAACGAAATAATATAAACGGCAAACCAACCATGTGTGCCTTATACACAGTGACTGTAGGGCGTGTAACAGTTAGGTATAGGTATAGTATATCTGCCTATATATATATCCGACTATTCGAGTATATAACCACAGACTATATGAAAACAGATAGCTCACTCGGGATGTAAACAAAAACTATGAATATTATCACCGCGACCAAATCAGTGTGACCACAGTGAGGGCATAACATTTCGTTTGGTCCATGACAAAAAAATGACGCGATTGCTACCTGCCGCCAACATTGAAATTCATACTAACTACCCTTCTATTCTATAGGATCTGACCTTTTACATCCCTTAGAAAATAGGTTATCTTGGCCTTTAGTTGCTGTTTGCACGACTTCCATGTGACTTATTAGTTGACCACTGACCAAGTGTGTAGTTTACTTAATTTTCAGTTTACAATTTAGTTGTACTTCTTAATTTTAAAATGGATAGTAAAAAAACAGGAATGCGTTGCTCTGTACAATTTTGCAAAAGTAAAGCAAGTACTAGGAATATAAGTTTCTTCCAATATCCAAAAGACGATCGTCTAGCATTATGGACAAAAAATTGTGGTACAGAAAATTTGACTGAAGAACTATCAAAAAAAAATAGCTATAAAGTATGTGGGGATCACTTTGTAGATTCAATGTTTTTGAACTCCACAACAAAAAACCGACTAGTTTTCAATGCTATTCCAACAATATTTAATGGTAAGTAAATAATAAAATTATTAAAACATGTTTAAAAATTATACAAATAATTTGAAAAACAAATTTGGATCTTTATAAAGTAATTTTTGGTTTAATAATTTAATTTTAATTTTAGTTACGTTTTTTTGATTTTAATTTTTAGATGAAATAATGTTTGAAAGAACTAAATTGGCCAAATTACAGTTGAAAACCGATGTAGATCCACAGTATTTTGATGATAATTCAAAAGACCAGAGTAGCTGTAGTAGTTCAATTCCAGGCACTGAAGGATTAAGAAGTCATTTTAGTGGATCCATGAATACTTCTGATGCTTCAAATGAATCTTGTAGCTCAATCACAACTACTGATTCTTCAAATCAAACACCTGGATACTTATCGGCAAATACACCAAGGAAACAAAAACTAGTCACGGAGATTAAATCTGGAAAACAAGAAATAAAAAATTTAAAGAAGACTGTAGTAAGTCTAAGTCAACAATTAGCTAACTATGATACAGTTGAAAAATTTTTAAAATTAGCTGAAAAATATTTATCACCTGGATTATTTACAATTGTCAAATCCCAAATGAATTTTAAAAAAAAACAAAAAGAAGGTTATAGATATAATAATGAAATTAAACAATTAGCATTAAATATTTATTTTTTAGGACCTAGAGTCTATAAACTTTTATTAAATACTCTTTCACTACCATCAATTTCTACTTTAAAACGGTTAACTCATAAATTTGAAATGATACCAGGCTTGAATGAATTTTTTTTTAATATTATTAAGTATAAAATTAAATATTTTACTGACGAAGCTAAAGAATGTGTTCTCTGTGCAGATGAAATGGCCTTAAAATCAAACCTCTATTATATGTTAAACAAAGATGAAATTATAGGGTTTCATCAAACAAATAAGACAAAGACTTATACTCCTGCCAAGTATGCATTTGTTCTAATGGTTAGAGGAATAAATGTTAACTGGAAACAACCAATTGCATACTTTTTAGTATCAAGTAGTTGTACCGGATATGACTTGCAGGATATTATTTTTGAAACTATTCGCAAACTTTTTGATATAGGATTAAATGTAAAAGCTTTTATTACAGATATGGGTTCTAACTTTGTTAGTTTCAGTAAAAATGTTAATGTTACCCCAGCCAGGCCTTTTTTTAAAGTTGGTGAAAAAAAAATAATATATATATTTGATCCTCCCCATTTATTAAAATCAACAAGAAATATGTTTTTTCAACACAATTTTAAATTTAATAATAACTTAATTGAAAAAAAACACTTAATATCATTTTTTGAACAAGACAGTAAATGTAATTTAAGAACAGCCCCAAAATTAACACATTCTCATATTTTTCCTGGACCATTTGAGAAAATGAAAGTTTTTTTGGCTGCGCAAGTGTTTAGTCAAAGTGTAGCAGCCGGCATGGAGACTTACCTTGTTAGTAATAAATTGGAGTCTTCTTCAAAGGCAACAATAGATTTTATAGAAAATATTGACAAACTTTTTGATATCTTCAATTCTTCAAGAAGGCCAACTTCAAAAAATTTCAATAGACCCTTTAAACAAACAAAAGAACAAGAAGACCATTTAAAATATATGCATAATTTTTTTACAAATTTAATTATTATTAGCAAAAAAGAACAAACTGATGTTACTAACCGGATGAAATTTATTAATGGTTGGTTGATCTCCATAACTGGCTTGCTGTTACTTTGGAAAGACTTAAAATCAACAAGACCATTAAACCAACAAGAAAATTATGTTTTATACACTGCCAGATTAAACCAGGATACTATTGAGAATCTTTTTTGTACAATTAGACAACAAAATGGCAATAACACTAATCCAACTCCTTATCAATTTTTGTTTGCATTTAAAAAAATTTTTTTACTTAATTATTTTCAACACTCAGAAAAAGCAAATTGCATAAATGATTTGGATGCAATTTTAACTCAAATACCCACTGATTCAGACTTAGACATTAGCACCCTATTTGCTGATAAAACACCCTTTCAATTTAAAAAAACGTGTCCACTTTCTATAGGACATGTTGATTATAGAAATTTAGAAATTCCTGAACAAAATGCATTCATTTATGTTTGTGGATATATTATGAGTAAATGTCTAACCAAACACTCATGTGAAATATGTTTAGAGTATGCAAAAACCCAAAAAAATTTAGATCCTTCATTTTTGTTATGCTTTTTTAAAGCGTATGAAAATGCTGAAAAATCAACTTTTGGAAATTTAAATATGCCCCATGAAAATTTTTACAATTATGTTTATAGCTTGGAATCTGAATTTATAAATAGTTTTCCTATTTTGTCTGTTGAAAAAGGAATAGGCGATAAACTTAAAATGAGAATGCTTAATATTGATTATGAACATCCATGTCCCAACTTTGATAAAGATTACTTACTGAATTTTTTTTTGCGTTTTAGAATTTATGCTTCAATTAAATTTTTAAATAGACATTTGGTATCTGAAAAAAAAATCAAAAACAGAAAGTTAGCAATTTTGCAGCATTTGTAAAGCAATATTTTGTAATTGTATTAATTTTATAAATATTTAGATGTATAATTGTAATTTAATAAATACCTTTTTTTATTAGAATTTAATATGTGCTAATTATACTAATTGAATTGTATGATACTACAATTGCTCCATTTATGTTTGAATACCTGTAACTAAATTATAAATTAAACATTAATTAGTTATTACTTTTGTAAATTGTATTATAAGTCTTTATATGTGTCTCTATGTTGTAAATAAAACATATTTAAGTTAGGAATAAATTATGTACTGTGTAATTATTTAGATTACCTACCTATAAATACTTATTATAGATTTTCTTATATATTACCAAATTAGTATGTATATCATTTTTATGTTTTAATATGTACTTACCTTTGTTTTCCTTAAGCATGGAAAATGTCTAAATATTGAAATAAATATTTTTTTTATGTAAAGTATGATATCATCATCATGTTTACAGTCTACAGTTTTAACTATCGTCTTTCACAGTTTCACATGTCATTAACTTACGTCTTACTAATTACAATCGGTACATACAAATATACAATAATATTGTATAACATCTGAACAATAATTTATTTAAACGCATGTAGCTACACTGATTTGGTCGCACCCAATCAGAGGATCTTATTTTTTTTCCCATTGTTTTCGGCCGAGTGAGCTATCTGTTTTCATATAGTCTGTGATATAACGAAGAGAGAACTCTTCGAGAATATTATATATAATGTGCTACCACGGTCAGCGAAAACAAAAAAAAATAATAAAAAGGGCTGTTACACGCACGCATACCTATATACAAAACAAACGGTCATTTTTGGATACGCCCTGACCACTGACAAAAACAGTAATAATTATGGGTGGTGAAGTTGTAAGTTCATGCAACAAACACATAGGAAATTACCCACAGAATGATTGCCTCGAACTGTTTGGCGATATCGCAATAATTGAGACCGTGTGACATTGTTTGTAAGTCTATACCAATAATACATAAGATAAACATGTGATAAATAACGGTTTTTATAATGTATTGCAACATAACATTATATTACACCTATATGTGTGTAAGAGAAAAAATTGATTTACCTGCATTAAAAAAAAAAAGAGGGAAAACGTAAGAAATCTGTTTAATTTTCTTCTTATATGTTACACATAGATATTATTTTCTAAATTGAGTGGAACATTCACATGGTACCCGTTTAAATTATTGTAAAGAACAACTGCGCGCGATGTGTATCTCGGAAATAATAATATAATACGAGAATTATTCGGTTGGGAACGAAGTTATACGGAAATAATAACAACGTTAGTGTAAAAATAATATTTCCATAAGAAATGTGCACAGCTAATAATAATGTATTTGCGTAAAAGTATTTTATGTATACTTAAGAAAAACGTAGGTATACCTATATAATACTTATAGGTATATAATATAATGGCGCGTATCTAGCGAATATTTGAATTTTAAATTAGTAAAATGATACGGTTGAATGTATATCAAAGGTTTAAAACATGCGGTTTTCTTTTCCGTTTTACTCTTTCGTGTTTAATAATATGAACGATAATCATGTTTACTGCCAGTTCAAGCCTGTGTACATTCGCGGGCTGAGTAGTGAAAAAAAGAAAAGAAAAAAACGTTCAGTGTTGCATATTTTGTAGAGGTTTCGTAAGGGTATCCGTTTTATACGACTACCAAGCCATGTGTTTTTTGAACTTTTAATGGTTATTGACTGACGGAGATGATAAAACATCAACTCGGGAGCAATAAAATATTATTTATTTATTTTTAATTTAAAATAATACCACTGACGTCTAGTAAAATGTACTATGTAGAGCACAACAAATTGTGAGCTTCGTCAAACAACTGTAGCAGCGTTAAACTACCTATACTACCTTACTGCTGCAAGATTATTGTTCGTCATTTGTTCATAACCTGATCGTGTGTGTATTGTAATAATATTATTATTATCATAACGAATCAAACAACGGTCGTGGTCGAATTGGGCGTATTATAGATTATTTTATTCTGTAGTCTGTACACAATATTAGTCTCGCTTCCATGCCGAGGACTGGCAATAATTTATAACGCTACGATAAAAAATATGTAATTTCATCGTCGGATAAAAAAAACCAGCCAGTTCCCGGAAAAATGTTCACCCGGTTTTGGGCGTTTGAGAATGTCGCAAAGTCTTCGACTGACATTAAAACGTTTCGGGACCGTATACGATTGATTTGTTACTGTCCTCAACAGTTTATCGAACATAATGCGTATTATTATTATAATAACTACGTCATACAGTTCTTGATCTTCGCGAACCTGAATTATAATAATAATAATATTATTTACCTACTTATGATGAAGCCATCACTCCGAATCCCGCTATTGTACGGTTTTTACATTTTGTGCAGTCTTCTGTTGAATATAATAGGTACCAACATTTTTTTTTTTTTTTTTTGATGTAATAATTTACACGCATTACTCTTCGTGTTCAAACGAAAACAAATACCGTTGAAATGTTTGCAGATAACGAAGCTTTCGTGGAGTGTAATGCGGATGTGCGTGCGCAAAGAAGGCGAATATAGAAGAACATTATGCATTTCAACAGTTAAAGTTAAGTGAGTTTTAATATTAACGTCGTCGTAATTGGAACGAATTTGTTTTTACGATTATATGCGTGTACCTAGTTGAAAAATTATAAATTTACTTGTGCCTATAACATTTTTTACTGAAACTATACGTTATGAGCCTACACAAATTCATAACTTTTTTTTATGGTTTTGTTTTCTGTCACAATATTGCAGAGGTCGTGCCCATTTCTGTGGTACATGGATATTGGATAATGGATATATAGATAGTGATTCATCAAGCAGGACCGTTGGGGGTGATAGTTAATTCCTTTGATAATGCGTTTATTCAAAATATGGTATTTTGAATTTTAAGTATACAGTCATACAGATGACCCATATATTTTCAGAAACTTACATTTTTTTTTATACAATTTTAAGAGTAGGTGTCCTTCTGCATTACAAATATCTTTTTTTTCAAATGAGAAACCTGCAACCTTTTTTTCTATCAATTGATATAAGCAGATCATTAAAAAAAAATTGTATGATCTAAATCAAAATTTGAAAGAATAGCTCATATCTGAGTTATGTATAGACTAAATAAGGATAATATGCCTACTAAGAAATTATTTTACAAAAATGTAAAATAAGTGTAATATTAATCAATCTAGTACTTATTATATTCATACACAATGTATACAAGTTACAAAATGTATTGTAATAAACAAAGTTGTTATTTATGTCACATAACTTGTAAGTTGTATAATACGATATATAGGTACCTAGGTACCTATAGTGAAAAAGTAAATTTTTTAGAATTTTTTCTATTATTATTTTACATATATTATTCTTGAAGATATTATTTATAAATTTTATCCTTATTTGGTTATAATAGGAACGCCAACATTCTTCATGAATCTGTCTAGTGATCAAAGTAAAAGCACCATTGGTCACAATTTTAAATTTTTTTCAGTAACATAAGGTACGCCACATAACCTTAATTCTGTGTGTGTGGCAAATGTGTTTGGGTCAACAAAATTTTGTTGATGGTTCACTATTTGTAGATAGACCATATATGGCTATATATATATCAGTGATGGTAATTTAAACAGCAGTTCTCCATTCGTCGCTGTGGATAAAGTTGAACCAGTTTATAACTTCTGCTTGAATTATTATGATGGTTGCAAAGTTGCTCCTTTACATAAAAATATCGTATTTCATACCATCGTGATTCAAAAATAGTCCCAAAACCAAAGGTTTTTATATTTTTCCTCCATAATTTCTAATTTAATGATAATTTTCTTAGTAGTTTTGTCCATCACTTGACACTTTCATTACTGCAGTCATGACCTTAACTTGTCCGCACGCCGGTCTTTTTTTTTACCCTGAAATAGGGATTCGTCAATTTTAATTGTGGAACCTATAATAGTATAATTCCTCTCATTCTTTTATTCAGTAAAATTTTTTCTGCAAAAAATATACCCCTACTTAAATTATATCAACTCAATTTGTAATTGTTGATTGAATTAGAATGGTTAAAGTGTCGAAATAGGCTTGATATATATGGATTGACATTTTATGCATTTAAAACTACACCCATTATATTATTTATAAGAACTTAATGGTTAAAGTTTATTTTTATATTTGATGCATTTTTCATTTAAATCATTATTCATTTTAGGTAAAAAAAATGTTTTCTTATATAGCATGATAGGTTTGGCATTTTTTTTGTCACATTTGAAGTATTTTGTTTCTTACTTTCATGTTCAAATAACTCTAAATTTTCACTTGATCTAATTTTATTACTTATTTTGGTACTCTTCTTTTGATAGGTTGAGATAGCAGCTGTCTGTTTTGTAAAATGTCTACCCACATTAATATGTCATAGATAATATTACTATAGAGATATGCAATTTTAGAAACTATTTTTACTGAATAATTTAAACAAAAAATTACAACAATAATTTACTTAATATTTGGGTAAATGTTTCTGAATTTCATTGTATAAAATAATATTATCACTGTAAATATTATATTGTTTTGTTGATAACGTATCAGAGTGGTCAGACCATAATCAATAATCCAGTAGGGAAATTGGTTGGTAGGTCACATATTGGACCACTACCATCATTTAATATTCATTATTTAAAAAAAAAAAAAAATAATGATGTTGTAAATTATATAATAAAATAAATATTATAATCAAACGGAAATATAAATTTTAACATGCAATAATATTAATTAAAAAATAATTAATAATAACTGTTTGTACCTATAATATACAACCTACAACCGTGTATTCTCCCTGAAAATGCCCAAAATTTAAATAAACGATTTTATCATGGGTGTTATATATTCTATTGTTATTTTTTTCTTTTGACACACATAGATAGCCAATCACAGAGCCACTATAACTTTCTAATTTATTTTTATTC